TAACTTTGAACGGAACCCATGTACCTTAGAGGTTAGTGAATGCGTTTAACAATTTTATGGTCCTTGAGTATCAGGGTTCAATTTCCACGTTAGGTGGTTTAAAAAAATCTCGTGGTATTTGAACAGTAGTACGAGAGTCACATCGTGGGAGATATTGGGTCTCACCGCGTACTATTCTTAAAGACATCACGTGCCCGGCTCTCTAGCGGAATTGGCTAAAACCGGATTTCGCGGAGACCGGGTGACGTACTCCTTGTGGTCCGGGTTCAATCCCGGGGGTAGGCAGGAAAGCCACATTTTCTCCCAGATTGACGGTATTTACAATGGAATCAAGGCCGAAAGGTTGCGATATCCATAATACCGAGCCTAAGGGTTAACTTACTCATGGCTTCTGGATACTAAAACAAAAGACATCACGTGGATGTACTGTAGCCAGCCTCATTTAGCCAGCACAGAATAGTAATTTAGAAAAAATGTAATTATCGCACAGTCGTGCGAGCACACACCTACGCAAGCATCCTAAAATAGAACTCTGTTTCTTTGACAGATATCCTTTAAAAGTGTCTTGTTCCTGTTTTGGGGTTGTTGTTTTTTTTTAAAAACTGTTTGTGAAAGCATTGCATGAAGCCGCAGAAAGTTGTGACTCATTTGGATCATTAGGAGTGCATTTATTACGTGAAGGGGACCGACCTGTCTGCCTAACAACAGTTAACCTGGTAAAGTAAGTAAAGGACCCATTTCCACGCCTTTCAGGCGTAGTGGGTATTTCGGGCTAGGCCTATATTTTATAGACCAAACGGCACTTGGTGGGGGATGTGGTCAGCATCACGCCGACCGCCTTTACTTCCCAGGACTGTACCTGGTACCCAGTAATGGTTGGGTCGACCCGTGAGCCAAGGTCATTTTTAAGGGGGGGGGGGGAATCGGGCCATTGTCAGGAACCGAACCCACCACCTTCCGATCCGCAGGCGAGCGTCTAGCCGCTAGACCACGGCCGTTCCCAGTTAACTTTATACTAGTGGATAAGCAACTGAATGGCATGTTAGGATACCTGCCCTGTATGTCATTAGGCGTGGGCTCAACATGCATTATGGGGCTTGAGTTTACATTCGCGGTACCTATCACAAATGATATTTACTGTTTTAGCCGGTTCAGTTTGTAGGCGCGGTTTTGACAGGCGGCTTTAACTCAGAGTTAACTGAAATACAACCCCTCCCCCCTCCGCCCCCTACTTTTTTTTTCTTCACTGACACATAGACACACACATAGTTAATAGTTTTCAATGTTTCCAGACTATGGTATTAACATTATCGTAGAATATCTGTGAGCTGTCATAGCATACACCGAGCAGGTGTATTATATTGCGCTGTAAAGAGGCATGGGAAACACAGACTATGGCGATGGAGAGTGTAACTAGCAAAGCCTGCTCGCCCTGAGAAAAGGTTTTCCGTTTTAGAGCATTAGATTTTAGGATTGTTGTTGCAGTTGCATTGCATTTAACTTCCTTCTTTTCATACGGTGGGCTTTTTACCTGTCTACAGTAGTTGTCTCCGTTATCCATGTTCCTTTCCGACAAATTCCCTACAATTTTCTCCATCCAGCACGGACCAAGCCATCATATTCCCGCGAATTCACCTCAGTTCCTGTATCAGCCATGTTCCCTATCTTTATATGACATCTTTTGCCTATCGGTAATTCACCGTGGAGGATGTCCTTAGGAACTCTACCATCCTCCAAGTGTGTCCTAGACAACTACAATTTCGAAGATTGAGTATTGAGAAAACGTGTGTGATATCTGCTGTTTCCAGTTAGAACTTCGTCGATTATGATCTTGTCTTGCCACCTGATACCAAGTGTTTTTATCGCATATGAAAGTATTTAGCCGTTTCTCATGGCAGCAAAAAGACGACCGGGTTTCACTATTGTAAAGCAGAGTGCCCAGAACCCAAGCTAGATGAACAAAAATGTGCCGTTCCTGCTATGCTTGAGTTGTAACTTATGCGTCATGCGCAAAGAGCAATTGGCAGATGTGAGTGGGCAGCAGATACAGACACGCTGGAGGATCATCATGTAATGTTTGCCACACAGAACTTTCAACTTGACTTTGTTGCTTTGCGAGTGGAATCTCTGCTGCCTTGCTGGTCGCTGCTCCGTGTTGAAATATACTCAACCTAGATCGTTGCTGGGAAGAGCAGTCCTCGTGTCGACGGATTTAAGATCCGTTCTATGGGTGTCTTTGTGGCGTTTGTATTTTTTACAGGCCACCTGAGAATCGAAGTAGGATGAGACTGTGCTTTGACTTGGAATTAAGTGTAGAGGAGGTGGTTATCGCGTCGACCTCGCTCTCCTTCCCTGGTTCGCCTTGGTCTAGGAGCAAAACATCATTGAGAGGTCTTGAGGTGACCACTCACATGCATCAAGTATGGAAACAAAAACTTCTGCAGTCCAAGTTAAAAAGCAGGCAGGCATAATAAATGCTAGCACAGGGCTCACCTTTCCTGAGCATCCATCACACAGTTCTTGGCTTAAATATTCCTGTTTTTGGTTTTTCCTACACAGGTACGAGTGGCTTGAAACCGTGCGTTCACATACTAGCTAACCGGGATTTCACATACTTGCGTTACAGTTTTGATATTCCTTTCATGTGTTTTCGTGCTCACGATCATAAAGTTCTCAAATGTTTCGTGAACCATCCCCGCAACGGTAGTGGGATGCATCTATACACCTGCCCCATGGCGGCTTACGACAGTCCTCTGTCAGTTATCACACCACTCCCACATTCTGTTGGGTATTCATATTGTCTTTTTAAAACGTGTCATTTGTTCACCCACGTCAGCCATGGATAGCCACCATTTCCTGATTTATTAATCAAAACTGACACAGCTAAATGTCAGCGAAGTTTGTGTTGTGTAGCATAATGTGCCAATGATGCTGGTTACGATAACATCGATTCATTATCAAGTGCAACTCAAATACAGCAACAAAGAATACAAACGGTCTTCGTGCATGGTTAGTACTATAAAAACAGGAAACAAGGAGAAGGGGTAAGTAGGGTGGGCTGTGTGTGCAACTCAGCTGGCGATCCCTAACAATATTTCACTGTAAGTGCTAACTCTCTGAGATCTACCTAGCTAAGTAGTCAAGCCGTTTGCCCCGCGCTCTGAAGTTTCCGTGTTCGATTTCTGACTAGGTCCTAAGTTGAGTTGAGAACGGACAACAGAACTTTCGGAGCATTCTTATGAGCAGCTCCCCATCCCTTCTTCAACGGCTAAGGCAGAGTTCCAGTTCCTGTGGTACCAGTAGCAATTTGATTATGTCCGTCTTGCCTTTCCTCTGAGTGTAAAGTGTCGGCCGGACTCTCTTGTCACAACCCAGCTTTGGGCCGTTCACGAATGCAGACGTTTCGCATATTCCTTTGCGTTGCGGGAGCTGTGATTCGCGCATTGTATACCGCTTTCGCGGATACAACCTCACACAGTGAAGTTGACCGTGTTGCCTGTAAGGGTTGTCTGCATTTTCATGATGAATGTCTGTCTTGCTGGCTTACTTGAAGAAGCAGTTTCGATTGGGTTCAGCCAGCTTATGACAGCTTTTTGGTTGAAATCGCCATCTTGATTTGGTTATCTTTCCTGGTAATACTGCTTCTTGAATTCCCAGGTGGTGTCTGTCGCTTTTCTGTAAAGTGCCTGTTCGGCGTTATTTAGTGCTTCTTGGTACCAAATAAGGTGGTTTTCTTTAATTCCAGTGAGGCTTTCTGTGGGGGCAGCTACTGTCGCTCGTAAAGAGTAGTTTGGTACTTACCCTGATCTGCTACGCCTGCCGCTACTCCGTCTTGGGTGCTGATGAATACCTGTCAAAAATCGTTTGATATCTTTATTTTTGCCTCAAAAATCCGTTCAGCCGTGACGGTGTGTTCAAGTTTTTTTCCCTGTAAATTTGCCCCCCCCCCCCCCCCCCCATCCTTCTTCTCCATTAATCTACAAGTAAATTGTGTGGTGTACATACTTCCACCGGACCAGCAGACAACCGCTCTGTCTACTGTGCTACTCAAAAGGTCCACATTCAGGCGTATCGGCTAGACCTGTTTTGTATAGACCAGTCGGTGGGTGATGTGGTCAACAACTGTGCTACTTTAGGATTCATGTGGGGGGAAACAAGAATAGACCCACTGCCTCCCCAAAAGTATGTCGTAAGAGTCGACTAATTGGGGAGCTTCCTTTAAAGTCGGAGTGCATCTGCCGGAGAGGCAAGGAACCAACAGTCTGTATTCAAAAGAATGAGATCTGTAAAACTGATGCACACGCAACACTCAGGTTCTGCAGCAGGACTGCAGTTCAGTAGTGGACGAGCAACCAGAACCTTCTGCCAGAGTTTACAGCTGGTGAACGCGAAGAAGAAGAAGAAGATAAAATTGCAAGCGCTACCTAATTTTTTTTTTGTACCGCCTCCATTTTTTGTTTCCCCACCCCCACCCGATGCCTCTTCATCTCACTACTCCCCCTTCTCTCTAAAGTAAAGTAAATTCAAGAACCCTTGGGGAAATTTTGAATTAGGAATCGGCAACATAGCACTCTGGACACTCTCCCCCATAAGCGCTGCGTCCCATTATCAGCAGCAAGCGAAGAGTTCCAATCCTGGTGGCACCAGTAACTGTCTGATACTATATCCGTCTAGTGCTTCTCCTGCGTTTTGAGCGTCTGCCAGATACCCGGATACCTCCTCGCAGCGCCATTCTCCTCAGACCGTATCGGGCAAATGTGTGTATATATGAATATATATATATATATATATATATATATATATATATATATATATATATATGTGTGTGTGTGTGTGTGTGTGTACCCAGTGACATTTTTATTACTTTGGCACCGACCTATTGTCAAGTTGTCAACTGCTTAAATGCACTGACACAGTTCACACCTATCCGAACACGTGATGATTGTCCATGAGGCTGTACGGGTATTCATTGTATATTTATCTGCTTGTTAATATTGCAGGATGATGATCATGACTGTGAGTTGGAACTGGAGGAGATTCTCAACCTAGACTCAGACGATGAAAGACGAGAATATATACAAGTAAGTTACAACGGTGAGGTCCACCCCTGCTGGTGTAGCATCTTATTCTGTCCACCCCCTGCTGCTGGAGCATCTCATTCTGACCACCCCTGCTGTTGGAGCATCTCATTCTGACCACCCCTGCTGCTGTAGCATCCCTTTCTGACCACCCCTGCTGCTGTAGCATCCCTTTCTGACCACCCCTGCTGCTGTAGCATCCCTTTCTGACCACCCCTGCTGCTGTAGCATCTCATTCTGACCACCCCTGCTGCTGTAGCATCTCATTCTGACCACCCCTGCTGCTGTAGCATCTCTTTCTGACCACCCCTGCTGCTGTAGCATCCCTTTCTGACCACCCCTGCTGCTGGAGCATCCCTTTATGACCACCCCTGCTGCTGGAGCATCCCTTTCTGACCACCCCTGCTGCTGGAGCATCTCATTCTGACCACCACTGCTGCTGGAGCATCTCATTCTAACCACCACTGCTGCTGGAGCATCTCATTCTGACCACATCTGCTGCTGGAGCATCTCATTCTGACCACCCCTGCTGCTGGAGCATCTCATTCTGACCACCCCTGCTGCTGGAGCATCTCATTCTGACCACCCCTGCTGCTGGAGCATCTCATTCTACCACCCCTGCTGCTGGAGCATCTCATTCTAACCCCCCCCCCCCCCCCCTGCTGCTGGAGCATCTCATTCTGACCACCCCTGCTGCTGGAGCATCTCTTTCTGAGGTTCTTTAAATCATTTTGTATGCTTTCCTTACCGCTCTCTGGCTGTCTCTGTTTGCCTGCCTATGTTTATTTTATCACTGTCTGACGTGGACTATCTGGTTTACCAGTAGAGATTCAGACGTGAAGTCGGTCTCGTCACTCAGCACGTCACCCGTCACTCGTTGACCGCTGGACAGTCGGTTGAGGCTCGCTCATTAATATTTCTCAGAGCCATAGTTTATAATTGTCTTTACAATATTCATCTGTAATTTAATATCACGGCCAATAAAGGCGTGGGAAGCCTGGCTATATCTAGCACTCGACTTTGTCGAAGGTATAAACCACTATGCATAAAAAAGGTAAAGTCGGGAGATGTGAACCAGCGTCATTGCACACGATTATAAATCCATAAGTGCTCTGCCACCAGTACAGATAGCTGATAAGAAACTGTCCGCCTGTGTCGCCGTCCGCACGCAGGACCATAGCAATACAGCGACGTTCCTCTATTTACCCCAGAATGTTAACTCTGGTACCCATTTCCTAGACGCTGGGTGAACCCCGAGAACCGCCCGGTTTCGAACACCGGCCGTGGGCTGCAGCGAGATTTGAAAGCGAGCCTCCTATCGACTGCGCTAACGCCCCCACCTCCTTTTGATTATTTATATAGTCTGCGATTCTTTAAAACAATCTTAGTCACATGCAGTAAAGACCTACCCTCACCTTTTTCCACACACACACAAATCTGCCGTACGGCGAATCCCATTCCCCTGTATGACAAAATATATCTTAGTTTTATACACACACCAGACACATACACATATGTGTATTTATGTATGTATGTATATATTATATACACACACATACTATATATATCTAATTTTGAAGATCGCTTTTATCTGTTCTGGGTAGGGTTATCCCCGCCTGGGTTCCGTGACTGACCCTATGGGTTGGGGGGGGGGGGGGTGAAAAGTCCCACTGCACCCTAATAAGCATGTTTTTAAAGGTGGTGAATTTAGAATGTGCTGAAAGTGGGTATGTCGGGCGGAAGGGCGCATATATTGCAACATTAGTTGTAAATCACAACACCACTCGCCAACCGCCCCTTTAAGGGCGGAGGCAGAAGAAGGGTAGGGTATGGCTACGAAACAGGAGACCTGATATGGCATGACTCATGGCAGTTTTATTGTTATTGGGCATCGTGTCTGTTATATCTTAGATGTGTTCATGTAAACGGACGTCCGCATTCTTCGAATGTGTCGCCTGAACTAGTTGGGACATGCCTTAATCATGTTTCGCGGAAAGTCACACACACACACACACACACACACACACATATATACACACATATATATATATATATACCCGCCCCACACACACACATATATATATATATATATGGGGGGGGGGGGGGCAAGCAGGAAGTGGATTATGTCAGCTTCAGGAGAACTTGATAACAGAGGACGTTGGGGAAAATTGCCTTTGTCGGTAGACACTTACAAGATGTCAGTTGTTGGAGGAACCTGGAAGCTATGGATATAAAATTGTAAACACAAGTATTGATCCGCACTTATGGAAACCAGGAATTAAATTAAAGATAGCAGCCTAGTCAAGGCAGGGAAAAAGATTATATGTTTGTCTATCTATCTATCTATCTATCTATCTATCTATCTATCTATCTATCTATCTATCTATCTATCTATCTATCTATCTATCTATCTATCTATCTATCTATCTATCTATCTATCTATCTATCTATCTATCTATCTATCTATCTATCTATCTATCTATCTATCTATCTATCTGTCTATCTATCTATCTGTCTGTCTGTCTATCTGTCTGTCTGTCTGTCTGTCTGTCTGTCTGTCTGTCTGTCTGTCTGTCTGTCTGTCTGTCTGTCTGTCTGTCTGTCTCTATCTATCTATCTATCTATCTATCTATCTATCTATCTATCTATCTATCTATCTATCTATCTATCTATCTATCTATCTATCTATCTATCTATCTATCTATCTATCTATCTGTCTGTCTGTCTGTCTGTCCTGTCTGTCTGTCTGTCTGTCTGTCTGTCTGTCTGTCTGTCTATCTAATCTATCTATCTATCTATCTATCTATCTATCTATCTATCTATCTATCTATCTATCTATCTATCTATCTATCTATCTATCTATCTATCTATCTATCTATCTATCTATCTATCTATCTATCTATCTATCTATCTGTCTGTCTGTCTGTCTGTCTGTCTGTCTGTCTGTCTGTCTGTCTGTCTGTCTGTCTATTTGTGTGTATGAAGTCTGAAAAGAAACTAGATTATTTCGGCCTGAAGAGAATGATGCACCAGAGGATCTGGCCAGCTCACTACACTTAGAGGACAGGCAAGAAGGCCATATCAGGTTACGACCGGTACCATTAGTATTGGAACTCTACTCTGGCTGCTGACGACGAGGACAGAGCGCAAATGGGAATGTCATGAATGCTGTGATGTCAATTCCTGACTTAGCTCGACTGTCTGTAATTTACCGTTTTGCCTTCTAAACTGAACGTCTGACCCCAGTGGTTTGAACGTTGTCCAGTTTGGTTCGAAAAACGTCCATGGGTGATTTGAAAAATCGCCCAGTTTGGTTTGAAACACATCCTAGATGGTTTAGAAAAGTGCAGTTTGAAGTGTAAATGGTATATATCCTCTTTATCTAGCTGATGCCATATAAGGTGTTTAGAAGTGATTTCCATTACTGCCGGCCTGCTACTTTTATGCCTATGGTGTCTCATGTCATTTTTACATTCCTTCATTTATCTTGTTGTCCTTCTCCAGGTTTCTTTAGGATCTGGTATATAGTGTTAAGTGAATTTTAATAGACCAGTAGAGAAGCTTTCATAGCACTAGGAAATGTATGAAGGTCGAAGAAAATTAAAACCAATAATAAACTTAACATTTTTAATTCCACTGTCGAATCAGTACTGTGATATGGAGCGGAAACATGGAGAACAGCTAAGTCGGTTACTAATAAACTACATGTATTCATTAATTGATGTCTGCGTAAAATAGATAGGATTAAAGTGAATGACAAAATCACCTATCTAGAGCTTTAGGAGATAAATAAACAAGTTCCACTAGACCAAGAAGAGAGAGAGAAAAAAAAGACGCTGGCGTTGGATAGGACACGCTTGGAATAAACCTGAGAATAATATAATTAGAATATCTTTGCGCTGGAACCCACATAGGCATATAAAGAAAAGAAAGGAAGACCAAAAAACAGGTGTAGAAGGGAGTCAGACCGTAAAAAACAAGATGGGTAGGACATGGGAAGAGCTGACTGCGATAGCGAAAGATAGAACGACTTGGCATGAGTTGTCTGAGGGCCTATGCTCCATAGGGGGAGGGGAGGGGGTTAGAAGAGCAGAAGAAGAAGAAGACGTTCGGTGGGAAATATAATAGTCAACGTCACCCAGGCTTCTTTCCTCGTCACACATAGGATGAACTCCGGCGATAATGTGGCTCGCAAACAATCAGACTGAGAACCCCTGTCAGTCGTCGAGTCTCCGCCGTCTGTTATCAGTGGTTTGACTGTTATATAAAAACAGAACACACAAAGGCACAAATCACGCTGGTGAAATCAATGCGTGTGTCGCTCTTAGTGCGCATTTTGCCGGCTCCTCCCTTTCCCTGCAGTAGGTTTACATATAAATCGATCAAACCGGCTTAGTGTCAAGGGTCTTGGTAAGTTGATTCCAAACGGCTTTTGCTGGTTGTTGTTTGTGACGTTCTGTTCTAAATATACCCTGGTAGGTTACTTGGCCACGACGCAGGCGATCCCAGAGGGAAAGGGGCCTTTACCTGGTAACCCCCGGCTTCACAGTTCAATGGAGAATGATAAAGCCACTACAAAAACACATTAACTGATAGCTATGTGTATACACGAAGCGAGATTTTTCCAGGGATTAGAATAGGATGCACTCACATTATAAAAATATGCGCCAGCACATACACGCATACAAACATACGCACACATATACTTGTTTACCAAAAAGCAGAGGGCATTTTTTCACGCCATTGCGGTATCGGTTTTTTTTCCCCTTACCCTATATCCCTCATTGAAGCTTAGGACCTCAGCCAGCTCACGCTAAGTCGACTTGTTTTCCAATCGCATGCAGCTTAGCCAATTTCCTCTCCGTCATTTTTACTTCAGCTCTGGTTTTAAAAAAAAATGTGTGCCCATTATGTAGCTTACCACACATTCACCCACACCACTCACTTACACCTAAAAGCTCGGTGGGCTGCAGTTTACCCAGTAACGCGCTCATACGTGTGTGTTTGTGTGACTGGGGGCTTATAAGGAAACAGGTAGTGTCAACAGGGAAACTCACCATGCATGTCGTAAAAGGTTTCTACTGAGGTTTAGTGTCGGTTTGGCTACCTCGTCCATTTAGTAGCATTGTGGTCAGTCACGAAAATATCTACAAAGGCTTAGGAGAGTTGAGTGAAGGCTTATGCTTCAGTGGGAGATTTAAAGGCACAAGAGGGAAAAACTGTATATTGAGAGAGGGAGAGGCTTATTTTCTATGGCCCTTTAAGGATTGTGTTTATGGGGGTGCGCGTGTGTGTGTAGCTCAGTCCCCTCTCCGTCCGTAGTTAAAATACCATCTATCTGTAACACGTTTTCCCGCTGACTAGCTTCGCAAATGCCGGGATGAACTAACAGAATAGACAGGTTTACAAATTCCCACGCGATGCTGCTAAACGCCTCATAGCTGTGTTCATGTCTATGAAAAGGTTATCTTCGGCTCGGCTTCCGTAGCTGTCGCAGGGGATGTAGAAACGATCAGAGCCCGGCAGTTTGTAAGGTCATCTGTAGATGACATAGAATTATGGGTTTGGGTGTCTCCAAAGCCGGATGGGAAAAAAAGGTTGTCTCCTGTTAAATATCAGAATGCCTTGCCTATTCTGTTGAGCTGGTGTTCTCGGTGATCGCAGGGCTACTTGAAATAGAATGCTGCTTTTCTCTTTCTTTCATGTTGCCGTGTTAGCGCAGTCGATATGAGACTCACTTTCAAATCCAGCTGCGACTCGCTGCAGCCCACGGCCGGTGTTCGAAACCGGGAGGTTCCCGGGGTTCATCCAGCCTCTAGGAAATGGGTACCAGAGTTAATACTCTGGAGTAAATAGAGGAACGTCGCTGTAGCTACGGAGTTTCGTGCGGAGTGCGACATAGACTGATAGTTTATCAGCTGTCAATACTGGTTGCAGAGCACTTATTGTTTATAACCGTGTGCAGTGACGCTGGTTCACATCTCCCCCGACTTTTCCCCCATGTTGCCGTGGTTTTTCTTGATGTTACGGTTCTATTTTCATGTTGATTATTACCTTGGTAGCACGCACAACAATATGCTGGTGTGTAAATATGTCTGTGCTCCCGGGCGAGAGACAGACAGAGACAATTGGGCTGATACTTCAGAGTATCTCTCTCCCTCCCCCCCCCCCTCTCTCTCTCTCCATTCCCCCTCCCCCTATCTTAGAGAAACTCGATGCCGTTATTTCTATTGTTTGTCCTGTTCCATGTCTATGTCCACTTTAGAAAACAATTTTTAAAAAACCGCATCCACTTTCAGCATGCTTTGCTGCCAGCAGTGCCTGGTTTATTTGCGCCAAGTATTTAGCTAATTTTAAACTTTGTGTCAGATTGCTGGCTTTATGAACCTAATAAAATAGATTGTCCGTTCCTTCTTGTCTGTTTTCCTATTCTCAGCTTTCTGGTGGTTTTGCCTCGTGGGTTATCCTCTGTCCTGTATTTGTTTCAGTTGGGATTGGGGGGGGGGGGGGGCGCTGAGTGGTCTCGAGATATGGTGTACGCTTCGAGTGCTCAAGGTCCCGGATTTAAGCCCCGGTGAAGGCTGGGATTTCTTTCACATGGACATCCAGGAATTTCCCCTGTTCTCTGCGTAGTCAGATGGGACGCCCGTGTGTATTGTTGCTCTCGTAAAACATCCCTTGTCAGTGGGCAGTCGAAAAGAGTAGCCTTACAGTCTGCTCGGGCAAAAACAATTCTGACAACTTCTGGGATGGGGCTTGAAAACAAAAATTGACGTCTCATATTTGGGCAGAGTTATTTAGTAGTCTAATGTTGGTGAAGCTTGCTGAAAGATTCTGATGTCAGTTACTTCATATATGCCTATTCATATATCATTTCATTTGCTTGTATGTGCATCTGTGATGCATCTGTGACCTTTATTTCATTTGGTTTTTAAAGAAAATGTTCTCAACTATATTCATAAATATTTATGTCTGTTTCCAGGAGCAGTTACAAGACGCAAAGCAGCCACCTGAAGTTGTCAATGTAAGGGAAATCTATGTAAATAAATATTTGATAGTGGCTTCCGTTAGCTCACAGAAGAGTTCTGTCCCTCCAAACTCAAAAAGTTGATGTAAAATGATTCTTCTTCTTCTTCTTCTTCTTCTTCTTCTTCTTCTTCTTCTTCTTCTTTTTCTTCTTCTGCTTCTGCTTCTTCTTCTTCTTCTTCTTCTTCTTCTTCTTCTTCTTCTTTTCCTCATCCTCCTTCTTCTTCTGCTTCTTCTTCTTCTTCTCCTCCTCCTCCTTCTCCTCCTCCTCCGCCTCTTCTTCTTCTTCTTTTTCTTTATTTCTCCCAGCTGTAACATCTAGCAGAAAGTTCTTGCTGTTCATCCACTTTCAGTCTAGTTCCAGAACTTGAATTTTTGCATGCATGTCCATTTTACAGATCTGGCTTATTTATATGCAGACTGTTGGTTCTTTGCCTCTCAGGCAGGTGCACTATGACTTTAAAGAAAATACTTCAGATTAGTTGACTTTTACGACATGCTCATTAAGGGGGCAGTCAATGTATTCCCCTTCCCCCACAATGGGCCTCCGGAACCCACACATTGAGTTTAGCTTTACAAAAGCTCCATGTTGTTGAAGTATTTTTAGCTTCACATAAGCCTTCCTCCCTTGGTTTCTTCTCTCCTTATTCTTCTCCTCTCCCCCAGCTCTTCTATTTATGCATCTTCTTTCCTGAGAATATCATACATATTAGTGAACGGTAGTCAGGTATTGTCAGCTTTTTAAACAGCTTCATATTGCTAAAGGGGTTACGTATTTTCAGTTTTATCTTAGTTCCATATTCCTGAAGGTAGTCACATATTTTCAGCATTATATTAGCTCCATCTTGCTGAAGGATGGGCATTGCCAGTTTAATATTATACCTCTGGTTTCTTGCCTCTCTGGCAGATGCACTCCAGTTTCAAAAAAAAAAAACCCTGATTAGTCAACTCTTACAACATGCTTGTGAGGGAGGCAGTGGATCTATTCTTTGTTACCCCCCACAATAAGGCCCAAAAAGCCACACGAGCAAACCTTTTATTTTTAACTTTGTCTTGTTTCTATCATATGCATTTTCTTTTCTGTTCTTGATTCTTTTTATATGTCTTTGTATTCTCTTTTTTCTTGTTTATTTTTTAGTCTCTCCTTCCCCCTCTGGCTTCTCCCCCTCCCCCTATCTCTGTGTGTGTGTGTATCCATACTCTCATGTCTCTTTCTTCTGCTTTTAAGTCTTTTTTTTTTTCATCTGCCTTCTTTCCTTATCTTATCTCCTTTTTTGTCTAACCCCTTTCCCCCCACAGCGTCAATATTTATGTATCCTCTGTGGTGAGAGTATCACACATTCGAGAATAACAAATATGACTGTAACAGTTTCACTAAGCTGGTCAGTAGTTACTACTGCATTACTGTAATTATTATGACCAGTAAAACCACCACCGCTAATACTCAGTGTTCAACATGTTTTTTTCCTGTCTTGTGTCCACAGAAGTTTGTTGAGGAGCTGTTGAAGAAAGCCAAGACATTGTAGTTTTCTTGGAACTCTGCTGGTTCTGACATTCACCATATGTATCTCTCCAGTATATTGTACCATACCATGTTGTGACATTGTAACAACACTGCATGCATGTGCTTGCCTCCTTGACCTGGGTGGGTATCTGTGCTTGGGGAGTTATGCTGTCTGACAGAGGAGCTCTCCCAAGGGTTGCATGTCTCTACAAATGTCTTGCATGAACAAATCCTGGAGACTTGACGGCAGCCATTTATTATTATATTATTATTGTTATTATATAGAAGTGATTGGATGATTGCTGAGAGGAGTGAGTTTGGATAGGGCGTGTGAATTTTCTTAATTGTGGATTTTTCATGCATTTGAACTGAAATTGTTTATAATTAGTGTTTTTTGTGGATGGGTTTGCTTGGAAAGCATTTATAAATCACGCACAGGATCTGGGTGTTATTTGCTGGTTGGTCGTTGCAAATAGCAGCAGTTGACTCAATATTTTTGAAACAATAGATGTGGCAATAACTGAGTTATTTTGTCCTCTTTGTCTTCCTGTTTTTTTATTTTTTTTTTATTAAATACCTAAACATGATTTTAATGTAAACGTTATTATTTAACCTCAGAGCTTTTAAATGATAATTGTACAAAAAAATAGGTATGTACTTGGGATCATAAATCTGAGACGTATTTTTGGACCTCTTCCTCATGTGCCCTTGAAAGGGTAGTTGGCATGTTTTGTTTTATCCTTCAATGTCTGCGTTTTTCGACGCAGTGCATCTTATATCAGCACAACCTTATTTAGTAATAACATATAACGTGTTTATTAAAGAGCATTGGATCTGTTACACCCCCCCCCCTCCCCAACCCCAAAAATGGGGCACCAGAATTGGTGAGTTCTAATGCTTACTGTCATTTCAAGCTGAAAATATTTGAAGAGCCAGTGATTTCCAATCTGGAGTGTGTGATTCACAAAATAGTCATAAATTTTTGGTCGTATGATGAGAAGAAGAAAACTAGAGCATTTTGTGACAGCTGGAAACATCTGTGGAAAGAAAGACCGAGGTAGGCAACATGAAAAGATCCTTGACAGCTTTTTGGCATGGCAATGGCATCAACACATGAACTGATTTTGATATATGCACTTGCAGATCTGAGATTGTGAAGAAGCATGATCGCCCACGCAAGTCGGCAAGGCCTTGTTTGTTGATAAGAGAAAGAGTATGGCATGTGTGCTGCTGAAACGATCAGTATCTCCGCCTGAAGATATTGTGCTGCAAGAGACGAAGCATCTGTGGGTATGCCAGGCTATGATGGCTATTCTTAAATCAGTAATCAGATGAGCAAGTGAAGTGTGTGGGACAACACAAAGCAAAATCAGCAAAATGTGTGGCATACATTTTTCCACGAACACACACATTGTGAGATCTGATCAGTAGTTGTGCACTATTTGGTTTCCGTTCATCAGCTTTGCTCAGGTAGCTACTCTATAACCTAACGCTTTAAATATAATTTAAATCTTCTTTATTATAAAAAAATTAATATGTTGCTGTTTGCCAAGCAATATTTTGAGCTGTTGGTATGTATGACTTTTTATAGCCATTGAAACGTTGTTTGCTGATGACTTCCTCCTGTAAAAAAAATTGTTTTTTAATTTTTTAAAGTTTATAGGAAAATAATTGTTTCCCCAGTACTATACACTACTTCGGTATAATATTAACTCATTCACTACAAAATGTTTTTAACATGGCAGTGCCACGCTTTACGCAGCTGGGGAAAATATTGTAAAATTGAGCTGTGACTTATCCAGTTGATTCTGGTAATAAGAAAAACCTGTCTGAGATTGACAAAAGTAATTCGAACAACTCTAGAACATGTCCTGAGAATGTCCTCGTCTGGAGGAGCTGTGAAACAACATGGCCACACCTAGTAGATCTGGAAACTAAGCTTTGAGGAAGCATAAGAGACCTTGAGCTGGCATCCAAGTTTATGGCCCATAGGGGATTAAACACATGACCAGAAATGACTGAAGTTGAAGACATTGATGGTTGGAAACTGAAAAAGCGAGGAGAAAAAAATGGTAGAAATTACTGCTAAGTTGTGAAGTACACCTATACAGTTTTAATTAAATATAAGGGCTATTTATTCACAGGGGATTCACAGAACATTGAAACATTTCCATTGTTTATTTCATTTTGTCGGCTTCAGTGTCAGTCATGTTAGAATAGAGAATCTAGGCATTACTGCAAATTGACTGAGCAGTTTTCTCCTCCGGGCTGCTACCAAAAGGTTTACCATTCCTTCCTGAGATATAAAAATTCCAGTCTTGGCTGGCAGACCAGTTAGGTAGATCCCAGATACCCAGTTCAATCTCCAAAGAAGGTATAATTCAGGCACCATTAACGGCTACACCAGGTGTCGCATGCGCATTCGCGAAACAGAAACAAAATGGCGACTGTACTTACAGAGTGTACCCTCAAACCACAAAGTGATGTTGTGTTTTTTTTGGGGGGAAGGGGGGGGGGGGCAGAAATGCGTTTAAAGGCATTCATAAGGAAATGCTTCTTGTTTATACTGACAAATGTTTATCCTGTAAAGCGGTGCATAGCTGGAGAAAATCCACCTTAGCAGGAAGCATTTTACAAATGACACAGAAGTTGGATGTGCTGTGAAAATGTGGTTTAGAAAACAGAGCCGACAGTTCAATGCATCAGGTTTGGGAGGACTGATAAATTAATGGGACAGGTGCATCAGTGATGGTGGAAATTATGTTTTTTTTTTTTAGACAACCATTTGTGACTTACTTATTGACATCCCCTCATATGTTAAAATGTTACATTTGTTGCAGCATGGTTTTATGATCATTCAGTTGTCAGTAATGTTAGTGTTATTAGCAGCTCTTATCTGGCACACACTTGTACTTTTTAACTCCTGATGTAGCAAATTTGTGGACAGAGTTAACTTATCCTTAGTTGGAAAAGTTACCCTTTCTGTTTTGTTCTGTACTAAGTTTTCATAGAATTGGAAGCTCTGGGCTTCCTTTTCCGTGTTCATGCTTACATACTGGAGACAGTTCCTTCATTTACATGGCTTACTGAACATTTTTTGCTGAACATTTTTCTGTTTTGATCTTAGGGCGTGAAATATTCAGTATTGTTTACAGAGATATTAATTAGGTTTGAGTTTAGGCACTTCTTGCAACGGCGACACTGTGTTGTAAGTCAACATTGCTGTATGTCCTGACCCCAGGGGATGTAATCCATTGTTTGTGTAGGTTCACATAATAAAAATATTCTTCCGTATCTAATATCAATAATGTTAGGGTTAGAGTTAGGGCTAACCTAAGCACTTACCCTAACCAATACCTTACCCTGACCAAAATCTTAAACAATATTAAATGAGAAAGAATATTATTATTGTGTGAACTTACACAAACAGTGGATTGTCTCCCTTTTATTTAAGTTGAGTGTTGTCCTGGTTTCCTGCTAGCTGTGAATATTCTGTTCTCCCGCACTATCCATTTGATCCCAAGAGGCCCTTCCCATGTCAGCCTTATGGTAAAGCAGATCACCAACCAGAGGAGCAGCTGCAGCCAGTGTATAATGCTTGTGTGAAGTGATTGATTTGATAGGGCAATGTGAGGATAGCATTGATTGTATGAAATGTGACAAGTGCCAGAAAACGCCACACAAGTATGAACTATTCGGAGTGTGTGTTTTTTTTTTCTTGTTTAATTGTGTTGTTGTTTTTTGTTCCAGATTTTTGTTTTAAAACTGTAAGCATTAGCTAAATTGTGCCAAATCTACAATCTTCTTACAAAGATTTTTTTTATTTACTGCAGAATGAGCTTTTTTCCTTTCAAAGTTTATGTACTGCTGAGTCGTGTTTTGCCTTTCCTTTAAATGTTTTTAATCTTCTACTTCTATGTTCAGCCTGTTTACAACATGGCTGCGGTATTTTCGCCTTTCGACCGACACATTCGACTTCCACCGGCATTTTTTCCAGGGTTAGCCTTCCCGAAAATATTTGTAACAATGAATGGGAGACATTCATTAGAAACCTGTGAGACATTTACATGTGAAACATATCTAAGGAATATACACACTTAGGAGTGAAAAAATATGACACAGACAACCCCCAAAAAATAATTAGGCCCGGAAACCCACACAGGGTTTATGTGTTTTATGAATGGTACCTGCCAGCTCTTTCTAGTTTATGAAAATTGCTATTTCTAGTTTATGAAAATTACTATTTCTAGTTTATGAAAATTGCTATTTCTAGTTTATGAAAATTGCTATTTCTAGTTTATGAAAATTGCTATTTCTAGTTTATGAAAATTGCTATTTCTAGTTTATGAAAATTGCTATTTCTAGTTTATGAAAATTGCTATTTCTAGTTTATGAAAATTGTTATTTCTAGTTTATGAAAATTGCTATTTCTAGTTTATGAAAATTGCTATTTCTAGTTTATGAAAATTGCTATTTCTAGTTTATGAAAATTGCTATTTCTAGTTTATGAAAATTGCTATTTCTAGTTTATGAAAATTGCTATTTCTAGTTTATGAAAATTGTTATTTCTAGTTTATGAAAATTGCTATTTCTAGTTTATGAAAATTGCTATTTCTAGTTTATGAACACTACTGCTTATTAGTGTATCAGTTCTTGAAATATTGTTATGAAAATTCAGCAAGACCGTCAAGAATTGCTCGGATTTGTCAGTAGTGTGAACATTTGCAGAAGGGTAGAATTACACACATGATTGTACTTGTAAATAAGACCCATATGATTTTCTCTCTCTCACTCACTCAAACACACCTCTTTAAATAATTTGACCTTTTGTTTTAAGTAAACAGCACTCTTGAATTTCTGTGATCTATCTATGCACATTGAGCTTCACAGAGGTGGAAATACTGCAAGCAGAAATTTGTTTCTTAAATGTTTTTAATTATATTCAGCATTCACTATACACATTTGTCAACTTTTTGTATTTTATCTTTTTGTTTGATTATTTGTGGTCAACTGCTTATAGAG